TATTACGTAATATATTAATTTAAAAAAAATTAAAAATTTTAAAAATTTTAACTAAGTTAAGAAGTAATTCTCGATATACTAGTTAGCCTATAGCGATCTCTATAGCGATCTCTATAGTGATCCTCTCGTAATTCTCTCGTAATCTACGATACGTTATTTACTCTATAAGTAATCCTATAGTGATTCTCGATCCGGATCGGAGTAGGATCGAAGTAGGATTAGAGTAGGGTTAATATAGTATCGATCCTATATCGATACTAGATTAATCCTTATTAGGTGGGCATATATGTAGTTTGCTTGATCCGTCTACGAAGTGACTTTCAGTGATATCTGATACCTCGATCTCTTTTACTAAGTAGTATATCCGGCAGAGCGTTACTATAATGGTCACCCCATCTAGCTGGAAATAGGCCTCATCGATTACTATCTACCTATGTATGCTTTGTCAGGCAGATAAGTATTCGACAGCGTTGCAGTATCTCACAGCTTATCTGGCCGCCTCAATATTATGTTTTGGTACATCCGAGCCTTACAATGCTGGTCGATGCATTTATATACGCCCCGTAGTGGCCTTTGAATGCATAAAAAAGGGGAAACCACCGACCATAGTAAGTTAGTACTGGTAGAACTCCTTCAAATGCCCATGGCCGTCAAGGGGCGAATATTAAGTTCGACCATGGAAACCTTCCTGCCCGCTGCGACACCTGTACTTTCTACTCGGAGGCCAGACCTAAAGAAGCCTTGCTCACTTTCTTCAACCCTGGCCGACGTCGTCTTCCGTCGTTGAAGCAGTCACTGCTAATTTTTTGGCCTGTGAAGAGGAGACATTTCCAAGTCATACATGCACACCGCCCAACCTCTGGGTCCATTCACGCACACTCCATGTCGCCTGGCCCATAAGGCCGTGGTTTCGGTTCTCCAGCATGCCAGCATGTGATGATGGACAGAGAGCCCAAAGCGTGGGGGCCACGATATGGAAGGCCGTACCCGCGAGGGTCATCAAAAAGGTCGTGAGGGACGCTACATGGCCGATGGCAGTGTACGAGATCCTTAAAAGTGACATACCCGTTAGTGATGGCGTGTGGAATCGATACTATAGGGGCCATGGTACTTAGGATCAAGACCGTGTCGACAACGTACTAGTAGCAACCCGGTTTCGATATAGTATTCGATACGGTTTCGAACCGAGTCGGTGTCCTTAAATCGGCAATAAAATTAACGCTTAGAGCCGAGTTAGAACCGGCTTCGAACCGTAGTGGAATCAATTTCGAGGCGCAATACCGTGTTAATAGTGTTGAGCCTCGAGCGGCTACAAAGCGATTTTCTAACTATTTCTACGTCTACTATATATATAGGTGCCCACCCTCTATCGAATCGGTACTATAAGGGCTATACTACTTAGGATTAACACCGTATTAATACCGTATTAACACGGTTTCGACGCGGTTTCGAACCGTAGTAAAGCCGGTTTTACTACGGATCCGAATCGGTTTCAAACCGGTTTCGATCCGAGTTTAAATCGGTGATAAAATGAACGTTTGCAGCCGTATTGGAACCGGTTTCGAGGTTCAATACTATATTGACACGGTATTGAACCTCAAATACGGTGTTGAACCTCGAGAGCCTTGAATACGGCTTGGAGCCTCGATACGGTTTCTACGTTTAATAGCACTAATTTAGTAAACTATAATCGAAAAGGTCTACGCCCAACTGCACGCTCGCTCAACAGTGCGTATAACAATGCGTTCAACAGTGCGTTCAACTACAGTACTCGCTCAACTGCAGGCTCGCTCAATAGTACGTTCGACAGTGCGTTCGACAGTGCGTTCGACACGCCTAGCAGGACGGTCAATAGGACGCTCGAGAGGACGCTCGAGTACTTAGGACGTTCGAGTACAGTACTGGCCTCCTGCAAAGGCTCAATCCGGGATCGATCTAGGATCAGACCTAGTTCGGACCTAGAATCTAAAGTAGATCCGAACTAGATCCGAACTAGATCTAATCCGAATCGGATCCTAGATCGAAGGCTTAATCTATTAATTTTCTTAGTAGATTAGATCCGGATCCGATCGGATCCGGATTACGTAGACTACTAAAATACTATAGTAAAAAAAAAGAGTGTTCGAATCCCGCTCGAGATACTCTTTTTTAGTTTAAAACTATCGTTAGAATTTTTCTTTTTTAATTTATAGACGATAGCGACGTCGTTACTACTCGACTACGATGCTATTTAGAATAGTTTTTTCGATATATTAATCTATAAATTATAAATATTACGTAATATATTAATTTAAAAAAATTAAAAATTTTAAAAATTTTAA